TTTCCAAACGTTCACGATCATTTACTAAGTTGTGGTCCTATAGCGATAAGACTGAAGCCAGCCTATCAGTATTTGAGGTCATTTGATGTCATCATTTTCCTGATGAAAGGTAGAAAACCACAAGCGACTTGCTGAAATTAAAGACCGATATCCTAAGCATATATCGAAATCCAAAGGTCTCACCATCTGACTGAACTCATTAACTGGTGGATAGCATCTGAGATGTGTCTCCCGAAAGACATTTTTGAAATTTGTTGGAAAGGATCCACATTGAGTTCTGCCTCGATAATTTGATATAAAAAATTTAGCTATCCAAAAATCTTGAGGTATCAGCTCAAATTCGTCAAAACTAAACGTTCTTCGAAATCATTTAAATTCTCTACCAGCTCTGCAGGTATTTCCGCATTACTAACTTGTGGTAGAGATAGAAAACTAGAACTCTATCATTCTGCAATGAATCTTTTACCAGCACATGCATTTCCAGATCTTTACAAGCCTCATCAAGCACACAACAGAATCCTTATCGACAGAGCACCCATGACTCACTACAAGCATTTTTCAACACAGGTAAGCGCTTACCATAAAATCTCCATATTAGCCCGAAAACTCAATTTGCCCTAAGCAGTCACAGATATTCAGGTCTACAATATCAACTCTATCAAAAATCATCCCTGATGGGAGCTGCAGATAGCCGAAACAGCGCTAGTGGGATCATGGCTGGAATACCCGGATCATCGCTTGTTGGTGGGTTGGCCCAACAAGATAAATTTTTCTGGCAAAAAATGCCAATAGGGAAGAATAACTTCTCCAACACATGTTTTGTTGACTTTGCCTTGTTTTATCAAAAAATAGCTAATCTTTCATTTGTGAAACAACTGTGTACTGTGTGCTTTAAATTATAAAATATTTTAGTTGTCTAGAAAGCGGTGAAAAGTCCAGATTATCAAGCGGTGATTCTTTTATTGAGAAAATGGTTTTCTAGGAGCATTATGTGGAAATCCGTCCGAAAGACGTAAACAACGACGGATCCGTACAACGTTTACTTCCGGTCAGTTAAAGGAGTTGGAGCGAAGTTTTATGGAAAGTCACTATCCGGACATTTACACACGAGAAGATATCGCTATGAGGATTGACCTTACAGAAGCTAGGGTACAGGTAAGGAATTTCAGCTTCGGATTTTCACAAACTGAAGAAAAATCTCCAGGTATGGTTCCAAAATCGGCGTGCCAAGTACCGTAAACAAGAAAAACAGCGACGAGCCAAGGAAGAAGGAGAAGACTCGGAGAAGAAATCCGAAGTGGACGAGAAGATTTGCATTGGAGATTCGACACTATCCGATCTAGTCGACCAGTAAGAAATACGGAGCACAAGTCTATTGTACAATCACTTGCTTTTTTTGTAAAAACCCCGAAGATCTCGCTTAATTTGCCCTCTTGATTTGCTTTGATCTCGATTTTGCTGTACACAATTTTTTATTCACACTAGTCAGTATAAATATACGCAGAATAGCGGAGAGATCATTTAGAACGTACGTAGTAACACCACCGAAAGAACTAATACCGTA